ATGCCTGGGTTGCAGGCCAGGTCCCCAGTAGGGGACAAATGAGAGGCAACCACACATTGATGTTTCTCTCCCACTCTTTCTCCTTCCCGTCCCCTCTCTCTAAAAAAATAAACAAATAAAAAATATTTAAAAAATAATAATTGTTATTGCTTCATGCCATTAATTTTATGGTGATTTGCTGAACAGCAATAAGTCCTCTAAGGTTCCCAAGTCCTGGTATTCATAACACTCTGAAACCTCTTTCCACATGAGCTTATTGCCTTACAGTTCAATAGTTCAGAAGTCAGACAGTAGTCTCACAGGGCTAAAACCAAGATGTCAGCAGTTCCTTTTTGGAGAATCTAAGGGAGAATTTATTTCTTTGCCCTTTCCTGCTTCTAGGGGCCACATGCATTCTTTAGCTCAGGACCTGCTCCTCCATCTTCAAAGTCAGCAATGTCGCATCCCACTGTACCTTTCTTCTGTAGTCACACCTCCCTCTAACTTGCTTGTTCTACGGCCCTTTTCCACTTTTCAGGTCCCTTGTGATTACATTGAACCCAAAGGATAATCTGTCTTTTAAAATCTGTGTAATAGTGACCTTAATCCCATCTGCAACTTTAATTCCCACTGGCCATGTAAACTAACATATTCACAGGACCCAGGAATTAGGAAATGGATGTTTATGGAGACCATTAGTCTGCCAACCCTACTCTTGGGCTAGCAGGAGAGTGACATATCACAGACACCAAAGAAGAGAGTTCCCAGGAAGGAGTGCACTACAGTGACTAATACTGTTGGGAAGTCAAGCCTGATAAAAACTGAAAAATGTCCATTGGGTTTAGTGTCCTGATGACACCAACCATTAACTGGGGTAGTACTGGGGGCAGGAGCTATTTTACGGTGATTTGTTGAACAGTAGTAAGTCCTGGGCAGCAAGGAAGACGAAGTGGAGACTAAGATTATAAAATCTTCCCAAAAACTTGATTGTAAAGGGAGATTTGTTGCTGTTTCTAAAAATAGGAAAGAGCCCTGGCTGGTATAGCTCAGTAGATTGAGCTTGGGCCTGTGAATCAAAGGATCACAGTTCGATATTCCCAGTCAGGGCACATGCCTGGGTTGCGGGCCAGTTCCCAGCAGGGGACACACAAGAGACAACCATACATTGATATTTCTCTCCCTCTCTCCTTCCCTTCCCCTTAAAGATAAATAAATAAAATCTTTAAATAAATAAATAAAAATAGGAAAGAGAAGCAAATTTCAATGCAGATGGGAAGGAAGGAGAGAACTCACCCAGCCCACAGTAAACTTCAAAAGGAGTAACTGTTGGGTTGACCCAGGCTCAGGTTTTGCCAGGCAGGCGCCACAATAGAAGAGAGGTTAGGCTGCTGTCAGGTTGTGGCTGAGGTGATAGAGATGGAAATAAGGGAGAGAGAGGAACAGGAGAAAGAGAAAAGGAAGGTGAAGGAAGGGGAAGAGGGGGAGGGGAGGGAAAGAAAGGAGGGACCCAAAAAACTTGAATTTATTTATAAAATATTATGTATTTATTCTAACGTTTAAATTTTAGTCACCTTCAAAGTGCTCTCCATTTGATGCAATACACCTATTAAAATTTTTTTCCACCACTCAAAAACAGTTTTGAACTTTCCCTGGCTGGTGTGGCCCAGTGGATTGAGTGCCCACCAGCAACCAAAGTGTTGCTGGTTCAATTCCCAGTCAGGGCACATACTTTGGTTGCAGATCAGGTCCCCAGTAGGGGACGCATGACAGGCAACCACACATTGATGTTTCTCTCCCTCCCTTCCCCTCTCTCTAAAAATAAAAAATAAAAAAAACAGTTTTTGAACTGGATTTTTATGCCTTTTTGTGCTCCTGCTGTTTTTTTGGTTCACCTCCTCCACATCAGCAAAACGTTTCCCTTTGAAGACTTTTTTCAAAAAGTGGGGTGGGGTGGAGGGAAAGTCACTCTGGGGAGATAGGGCAGATAGGAAGGATGGGGCACCAGGCGTCATGCCATTTTTTGGTTAAAAATTTCTGAACACTCAGCATGGTGTGGGCAGGTGCGTTCATAAGTCACCCACTGTGATGGGCAAAGGGTTTAAAGAGTCTTCAAAAAAGCTTGGGGGAAGCCAAACGCAGCCTCTCACAGCAGCGCCAGCTGGTACACTGATACAGATGGGTTTCTGGAACACTCATCTAGCAGGGGAAGCCTGTAGTACAAGGGGCCTAACCTCCAGAGGATAATTCCTCTTTGTGGTGGTGGGGGCTCTCCTCTATCTACTCTTAGCTATAATTAATATACATAAGCACGGGCTGTGAACTGGAGGGTCACTGGTTCGATTCCCAATCAGGGCACATGCCTGGGTTGCCAGGTCCCCAGTGGGGGCCATGTGAGAGGTAACCACAGATTGATGTCTCTCTCCCTCTCTTTCTCCTTCCTTTCCCCTCTCTCTAAAAATAAATAAAATATTTAAAATATATAGAGAGAGGCAATTTTTAAAACTCCAGACACTCCATTTCCCTTAAGGCATAGTGGCCGCTCAGACTACAAGTCCCATAATGCCTGGCCTGCCCCCTAGTCCGTAATTACCCACTCACGACCACTCACGACCTCTCACCCGATTTTCCTGCAACAACATTCCTGCTGTTTCGCTACCTCACCAGCACGCCTACCAAGTCCCAAGAACACCCGATTGGGTCAGAGAGCGGGAGACCAGGATGTTCCTCACCCTGAGGGGAGGGAGAGGGCGTGGCCATGCCCTGCCCCGCCCCTGCTCCGTGGCGCTTCTGGCGGGACCTGGAGATATGGGCGCTACGTGGGAGAGCCCCGGTTGGGCGAGGCTCGTACTGTGCCTCACAGGCTTAGTGCTCTCGCTCTACGCGCTTCATGTGAAGGCGGCGCGCGCCCGGGACCAGGATTACCGTGCTCTCTGCGACGTGGGCACCGCCATCAGCTGTTCGCGCGTCTTCTCCTCCAGGTGCGCGCGGGAGTGGAAGACTTGGGGTATCTGACTGCTCGTGGGAGCAGTGCATGGGTACCAAGTGTGCATGGCGGCCAGGTTGCCAGATGGTTCTGGAGTCTGGGATTGGCGTGCCAGAAAGCGGGTGCATGGGGGAGCCCGGCTGCTTAAGGGGGCACTGCCCTGTGAATGGGGTGTGGGTGTGTTGGAGATAGGATTGCGGGGTGGGGTGACAGGTAGATAGTGTTGGGGACTGCAGTTATTCTGGGGAGTAACATGTGAATCTGGATTCCAGGGAATAACGGTTACCAGGCAGGAGGGGTAACGTAGAATAAACAATGGTGGTCTTGAGTATGGCTGTGCTCGAGGGCCTGGGGTTATTGGGATGACTGAATACAGAGGAAGGGAACGGGCGGCCAGGGAACTGGAGAATTAAGAGGTCCAGGGCAGATAGAACTCTGCCCCCGATTCCCAGTCTCTGGTGACTAAGTAAAGCAAGGTCAACCTTGCTATCTTGTGGATTTGATCCCAGTCAGGGCATATACAAGAAATCAACCAAAACATGAATAAGTAATTGAAATGACAAATTGATGTTTCTCTTTCTCAAATCAATAAATAAAAAATTTAAATAAATTATTGATGGTCTAAAGTGAAAAGGGGGAGACCAAGGGGAAACCATGTCCAGAGTGGGCCTGGGAATAGGGGAAGATAGGAGCTAACACACAGATTCCTGATATGCCCAAAGGGAAGCTTCACCAGGCAGTCATCGACCCTGGACCTCAAGCTAGGATGTGAGGAATGACCACAATGGGAAGGAGGCCAGCGTAGGTGGTTTCTTGGACAAATCGCCCCTCCAGGACAGTGTCCAAGGCACTGGATTGACATTTCTTACCCGGGCTTTCCCCCCCACACACACCAGGTGGGGTCAGGGCTTTGGACTGGTGGAACAAGTACTGGGGCCGGACAGTGTCTTCAATCAATCCAACAGCATATTCGGTTGCATCTTCTACACACTACAGCTGCTGTTAGGTAACTGCCCCTGCCCCTTCCTTGCAGGCCCCACCCCTTCATGACAGCCCTTTCTTCTTTCCTTCCTTGGCCAGCCCAGCCCCATCCCTTACAAACTGGGGTACTCATACAGCTAGCCAACAGGCAGCTGCTCGTCACTGAGCACTCTAGGGGTGGTAACTGATAGGAGCCTTTCAACACCAGTTTTGAAGGAAAGACTCAGAAGTTCTTTGGCATCAGTGGGGAGGCAGGAATCTTAAGGGATTATCTTTCATCTCTGGTAGATGAAATGTCAGCAAGAAAGTTCACTATTTGGGCCCCAGGGATCATTGAACAGATAGGAAAGTGAAGGCCTTGGTGGGGCCTGTCAGACCCTCTTATTTTAGAGACTCTTCTCCCACAGCCTCTGCTGTCTGAGTGGCACCATGAAGTCATGATAATGTTCTAGAGGTGGCCAGTCCCTGAAGCCCATGTTTGACCCTTTTTTCCCTTGCAGGTTGCCTCCGGGGCCGCTGGGTATCTATTCTGCTGCTGCTGAGTTCCCTAGTGTCTCTTGCTGGTTCTGTCTACCTGGCCTGGATCCTGTTCTTCGTGCTTTATGATTTCTGCATTGTTTGCATCACTACCTATGCCGTCAATGTGGGCCTGATGGTGCTCAGCTTCTGGGAGGTCCAGGGACCCCAGGACAAGGTCAAGGGGCACTGAGTCCTTACCCCAAGCCAGGATGACCTCTTATGCTCTGCTTTGGCACGTCATCCTTGCCCAAGGGGGATATGTCTGGGTCCATATAACAGTCTACAACCCGCCTCCACCATACTCCCAAAACAGGACAATGGACCAAATGTGCCACACTCTTTCCTCCATCTACTGCCTCTGGCTCTGTCCCCAAGGATTGGTTTCCAAAGCTTCTGCCACTGCCCAAGGAGGGAAGTTTCTGAGCAATAAAATTTCTTAAACTGGCCAAGTCTGAGCCACCTGTCTGCCAGGGATCCTAAGTGTTGGGCCTCCCTGAGTATTGCCTCCTCTGGGACTGGAAGGATATGAGTCAGAAGGAGAGTGGAGGGCCTGCCTGGGAAGGGTATTTAGTTCCTTCTCCAGCATGTAGAGTCAGCAAGACCTGGGGCGCCACCAGCCCCCACCCCCAGGAAATAGGCTGGCAGCTTGTCCCTGCTGCCCATGGAGCCAGGTCTCCTCTCCTATAAGGGCCAAGCATGCTCTTGCAATGGTAAGCTGCCCTTCTGGTTCTATACATGCTTGCTGGGAAGTTCTTCTTATAGCGTCACCTTAACTCTTCTGGCTGCCTTTTTTACCACCCCTGGCCTGAAGGGCCGGCCAGAGACAGGTTGTATTTTAGATTTGTTTTTCCTAATATCTCCTGAGCACTTACCTGTACACCAAACACTGTTTAAGAACATGACATGTGTAAACTCACTTAATTCTTATAGCAATGGTATGATGTTGCTACTATTATCCCTAACTGAGGTACAGAGAGGCTAAGCAGTTTGCCTAAGATCACACAGCTAGTGCCTGGATAGGGAGTTAGAGAGCCCTTAAGATTTTAATTCGCCAGGGCCCCCTGGCTCCAGTGTCAGTGCGCTTCACCCTATCCACAGCTGCCTCTGTGTTGGCATTAGGGTTCCTGAACAGTCTGGGCTGGCCTGAGGTAGAAGTCAGGAAGAGAAAACTGATGCATCCTGAATGTTTTCCCCTCCTGACTGAATCTCCCAACACTGGCAAGAAAGGTGGGCACCACTGTAACCCTGAATGCCAGAAAGGCAGCAGGCCCAGAGAGGTGTTGAGACGGGCCAGTCTCATTGCTAGAAGTAGCTGAGAGCCCTGGCTTCTTGACAGCCAGCCCCGGACACCTCTTTCTAAAGCAAGATGGGAAAAGGTATACGGAATCCACTTGGACCTGAGCCTGGGAGAAAGCTGGGGAAGCTGAAATGTAAAGTGAGAACTGGGAGGGCCTGCCCATTGTACCCTTCATAGTCACAGGAGAATAGCTTCCATGCTGGGAGCAGGTTTACTCTATGCTAGGCTCTGGTGTATTTTTACATTAAAAAAGTCTGAGTTTTTCAGACAAGGTACAGATAGGCTAACTGTCCAAAGTTACTCAAGTGAGTGGGGGAACTGGCATTTGAACCCAGGTAGTCTGGCCCTGGCTAAGGCCCAGCAAATGTTGGTGAATAAATAGCCCAGGGTCACACAGCTACAGCCCAAGAACTAGGAGCCACTGGCTCCCTTGCCAGCCCAGGAAAAGCAGTGACGCCTGACTCCTAGCCAACTGGGGGCGGAGCAGAGGTGGAGCTATGGAGACCCAGGTGGCCTGAGAACCACAGCACGGGCAGCAGAGTGGCCTGGAGCAGCAATGAAGCAGAGCTGGAGACCAGGGCTGCTTATCCTGGGAGCCGTGGTCTTCATAGAGGGTGAGCCACTTGTGATTGAGTGGGTGGGGAAATGGTATGGTGAGGGTTCAGGGGACACCTTCTGCCTTAGCAGCCTCCGCAGCTTGGTGTGTGTGTGAGGAAGACTGTACGGTGACAGTCCACCTGTAGTGACATAACTGTGTCTGCCTATGTGCGTGGGGAGGTGGATGTGGTTGCCTGTGTCAACATGGGTGAGTTTCTTGGGCCGCATTACAGTCTATGTCTGCAGGAACTGTGGCAGTGCCTGTGCCCTGTGTGTGTACCCTGTGCCTGTTTGCCTCTATTTCCAGGAAGACCCTAGGCAAGTTCTGAGGCCCTTAAGCCTCAGTTCCCTGGTCTTTAAATATGTCCCATCTCTCCTGGCTTGGATGCTCAATGGGTGTGTTTGTATGTGCCTATTAGGGAAAGAGTCAGGGCAGGGGACACCTTAGTAGAGTCTGGCAGTTTCTGGAAAGGTGGAGGAGTCTGAGTTGTTGGAATGGGTGGGGTCAGCCTCAATCCCTCAGAGCCCTTCCTCATTTGGACATGACACAGGCCTCTAATCCTTCCTCTTAGGCTTTCTTGGCTGAGGGCACAATTAAGCTAATGCTCTCCACTTATGTAGGCCGCCTCCCTGACTCCGTGGCGGGGGCAGGAGTTGGGGGTTCTGAAGCCTGGAGCAGGGAATGGCCCAGTCTCAATCTAACCCTGGGCCCTGCTCCTTGGACCCTGGAGTGCTGAGTGCAGCTACGGGAGGATAATTAATTACAGGGCATATGCTCTGAATAGGTTCTAATAAAAACTGTTTCTTGACCTCATATAAATATTTTCATTCTGGGAGGGGATGGTGAGGTAGCCACGGAGTCATACGCAAGGGCCCAGGGCCTGTCCCTCAACCTGTCACCTCCATCAAAGCTGGGTCAGGCAGGTAAGGCTTCCCCACGTCTCACCTGTGTCTCTGTCTTCCTAGGTCTTCAAGCAGCTCAACATGGTAAGCTCTGGACACATGGGGCCTGGGTCTCACTTGGGTCCGGTCAGACCCTGGGGATAGGTGTCTGCTGTTAGCCTGACCCACCCCTCTCTACAGCCTGTGGGCAGCGTGGCCCTGGCCCCCCTGAACCTCAGGAGGGCAACACAGGGCCTGGCGAGTGGCCGTGGCAGGCCAGTGTGAGGAGGGAGGGCGTCCACATCTGCAGTGGATCCTTGGTGGCAGACAGCTGGGTCCTCACCGCTGCCCACTGCTTTGAAAAGTGAGTTGTGGCTGGGGTCAGACAAGGTTTCCAGCTTTGCGGGTGGGTGATTTGTCCCCAGACTCCACAAGATGGATCCCTGCCCCTAGAATAACAAAGTAGCATTTATTGAGACTATGCTATGCGTGAGGTACTTACTATCAAGTTAAGCTTAACAACCTTCGTGGTAGAAACCTTACAAATGAGAACAGCTTGGGAGAAGTAAGGACCTTGCTTAAAGCCATGGCTGATACTTACCCATTTTTCACCTGCTTTGTTCTGTCTTCTTTGGTGTCACTGTCTCCCTATGCGTTCCATGACTGGGCCTTGTCTCTTTCCTTCCAGGGCCGCAGTGACAGAACTGAACTCCTGGTCAGTTGTCCTGGGCTCTCTGCAGCGTGAGGGGGTGAGCCCAGGCTCTGAGGAGGTGAGGGTGACTGCTCTGCAGCTTCCCAGAGCCTATAACCATTACAGCCAGGGCTCAGACCTGGCCCTGCTACAGCTCGCCCACCCCACGGCCCACACACCCCTCTGCTTGCCCCGACCTGCCCATCGCTTTCACTTTGGGACCTCTTGCTGGGCCACTGGCTGGGATCAGGACACCAATGATGGTGAGTGCTGTCCCAGACTAAAGCCCAAAGAGGCACTCCACTTGACCACTGTCACACAGACTCAGCTGCCAACTGTCCCTTCTTCTAGTCTCCCTTGCTCCCCAGAGCCCAGACTCTGGCCCCAATTTCCTGTCTTTTTGCCAGCTCCCAGGACCCTACGGAATCTGCGCCTGCGTCTAATCAGCCGCTCTACGTGTAACTGTCTCTACAACAGGCTGCACCAGCGGCTTCTGGCCAGCCCAGCCCGGCCTGGGATGCTGTGTGGGGGTGCCCAGCCTGGGGTGCAGGGGCCCTGTCAGGTCTGAGGGGGAGGAGAGGGGAAGGGAGCAGAAAGGGAGGGGTTCTGGCTTCAGGCTGGTTCCTCAGTCCACAGGGGTGGGTGGAAAGGGCTGCAGAGGATGTCTGCCCAGGGCTGGGGCTCAGGGTCTGTCCTTGACTCCGTTGCCTGCTCCAGGGAGATTCTGGGGGTCCCGTGCTGTGCCATGAACCTGATGGACACTGGGTTCAGGCTGGGATCATCAGCTTCACATCAAGCTGTGCCCAGGAAGACACTCCTGTGCTGCTGACCAACATGGCTGCTCACAGCTCCTGGCTGCAGGGTCGAGCTTGGGGGGCAGCCTTTCTGACCCAGAACCCAGAGACCCTGGAGATCAGTGATGAGGACAGCTGCATAGGTAAGAGCAGAGGCTGTTAAGAGTGTGACATGTGGGGATACCCGGGCCTGCATGAGGACTTCTGGGCAGCTGGTAGAAGCCACTTGGAATAATTGACACAGGGCATCCACAACCGCCATATGCTAACTAGGGGCCTTTAAGGCTTGCCCCTTTGAGCCCCTACAATGGGAACAGCCCCATTTAGGGCTGAGAGGCAGATGCTTCAAAACATTGTAGGTTTGGAGTTTAGGTAAGAAGAGGGATCTCTGTGATCTGGCTGAAGTTTTTTTTTTTTTTTAATTTTTTAAATTTTATTTATTTATTTTTAGAGAGAGAGAGGGGAAGGGAGAAAGGGAGAGAAACATCAGTGTGTGGTTGCCTCTCAGTGGGGGGTTGCTCCCCCCACTGGGGGAGTTAGCCCACAACCCAGTCAGTTAGCCCTGACTGGGAATCAAACCGGTGACTCTTTGGTTCGCAGCCTGCACTCAATCCACTGAGCTACATCAGCCAGGACAGGCTGAAGGTTTTTGAGGTTAGCTGCAAATTTCTAAGCAGGGACCCAGTCAGACTGGACAGGGCATGGCTCCCACTTAGAATTCTAGCATAAAGTGACTAACATGCAAGCTGCATGCAAAATAATTCCTTGGAAGTTGTCTTGATGGGAAGAGAAGTACTAATGAGCCAGGAATTCTGGGGCCAGTCCAAGCCTGGAGGGGTGCAGATGGAGTGGAGGAATGATGAGCAGGCCACACTCCCTTGAGGCTGGACCATCAGGGTTAAAAGCATAGGCCCTGGCTTTTGGATATCAAATCGGCTATGTACCTCTAGTTACTGAGTTAAAAAGTCACTTAACCTCTCTGGAACTTTGGTTACAAGGCTAACAAAATTCAACTTAAAAGGCTATTGTGAGGATCTCATAGTACCTGGGAAGTGCTTAGCACAGGTTCTGGCATGCAGTGAGCACTTTGCAATAAGAAAGATGTTGTAATCTGTTTCAGCCTGCGGAACCTTGGGAAGAGAAGGGACCCAAGCAGAATCCCCCTCCCCGTGGCCCTGGGACGCCAGGCTGAAGCACCAGGGGAAGCTGGCCTGTGGCGGAGCCCTGGTATCAGAGGCAGTGGTGCTGACTGCTGCCCACTGCTTCATTGGGTGAGCCCTGTCTCCCTCACCTTTGTGACCCCCCATCCTTGCTGACAACCCACCCACCAAATGCTGTCAGTGCTGTTTCTGCACAGGCGTCAGAGCCCAGAGGAATGGAGCGTAAGGCTGGGGGCTGGACCCGAGGAACACAGCCTCAAGCAACTCATCTTGCATGGGGCTTACACCCACCCAGAAGGGGGCTACGACGTGGCCCTCCTGCTCCTGGCCCAGCCTGTGACATTAGGCCCCAACCTGCGGCCCCTCTGCCTGCCCTATGCTAACCACCACCTGCCTGATGGGGAACGTGGCTGGGTCTTGGGGCTGGCCCACCAAGGAACAGGTATGTAGGGTGGGGCCACCACCAGCTGTCCATCCAGCCTAGAGGCCACTGAGGCAGCCAAGTCTTTGCCCCCTCACCACAGGCACCAGCTCCCCTCAGACAGTGCCTGTCACTTTCCTGGGTCCCAGAGCCTGCAGCCGGCTGCAAACTACCCTTGGGAGCAATAGTATTCCCATTCTGCCAGGGATGGTGTGTACCAGTGTTGTGGGTGAGCCACCCCGCTGTGAGGTAAGCCCATCCTCCAAACCTTATCCCACAGACCCCTGGCATCCTCACCCTGCAGCTAATGTACAACACTTGCCAGGCCTGGCCTCCAGAGCTGCCTCTCACCTGAAATTCAGCCTTTCTGCCAACTGGCATGCAAAAAGCCAGAGCCTCAGGCCAGCTCCTAGTCCCTTCTGCCCCTTGCAGCTGCCTAGGGGTAAGAGGAAGTCACCTAGTGCCACCTGATCTCTGACAGGGCCTGTCTGGGGCACCACTGGTGCATGAGGTGAGGGGCACATGGTTCCTGGCTGGGCTGCACAGCTTTGGAGATGCCTGCCAAGGCCCCGCATGGCCTGCGGTCTTCACAGCGCTCCCCACCTATGAGAATTGGATCAGCAGTTTGGACTGGCAGGTGTACTTCACTGAGGAGCCAGAGCCCGAGGCTGAGACTGGAAGCTGCCTGGCCAATATAAGTATGTGGCCCTAGGGCCTTCCTGCTGACACTTCCCTCTCCAGACCCCTTCTCTCTGACTAGGGAAAGATCTATTCTGACTCACCTCTAGCTGCCCTGGGTGGGGTGGAACAATAGACAGATCTCTCTGGATTCAAATTCTGGCTCTCCATCATTGTGACTTGGAACAGACCTCCCAACCTCTCTGAACTGTTTCTTAATCCATCAGGGCTAAGTAGTACTTCTTCCCTCTTCCTTCCAGGGGGGGAGATTTGTGAAGATGAGGCCACCGTCCCCATTCCCTCTCCTTGACAGGCCAACCAGCTGGCTGTTGTCAGGTGGCTCTGGGATGCTGCAAACACATCACTGCCTCGGCCCCTCTCCGTTCCTCACCCACACAGTTCCAGACACTGTGGTGGGCCCAAACAGCCCAGTGGGTTTTGGGAAGGAGCCTGCCTGGATCATCAGCCGCCGTTTCCTAACCCCACAGAACAGGGAGCTGTCACCCGTGGATAGCCCCCACCTCACCTCTGCTGATGTCCCAGCTTTCCCTGTTCTCTGTCCCCTCAGATACAATCACACCAACCATGTACTTTGAAAACTTTTTTTTTGGTGAGGGCGGGGTTGTGTGTGCAATTTTCTTTTTTAAACTTAAATAAATTGTTACAAAATAGACTTTAGAAAATAAGTTACAAATTGTAGCAAAAGGACTCCCTTCCATAGGTAACGTTCCTACCCCTGGCTCTTTCTGCATCTGCCTCTCCCTCGTGTTGGAATCTGGCTGGTGAAGGTGGCCTGATATCATGGCAGACCCTGACACTGAGTTTCTTGCAGAACTGGTCATAATGAATAGCACAGTGACAAAAGCTGGGGAAAGAGGTCCTTCAAGGAGAGGGACATGAGGAATACCTCACCCCCTGCTTGGGAAAGAAGTCAGATCTGGGTCTTTTTTGCAAGGGGAGAGGAGAACGGATGGGGATGCCCAAACTACTCCTGAGTAGAACATGGAGGTCAAGCCTTTCCCTGCAACCCGCACTCCTGCCCTGTACTCTGATCTTTGGAGACTTGAAGTTCAGAGAGAGAAGCTGAGATCTGCAGGCCACTGGGGTGAAGGGTCCAGGAGTGGAGTCGTGGAGGTGGGTGGAGGGGGCAATGACCTGCCCACCGCTGGTGTCTTTGAAGCTTCTGGGGGAGAGAGAGAGAGGTTACTGAGGGAGCCACTCCACACATCTTGTACTTACTTCCCTTCCTAGCCCTGCCCATGGCCCCAGGAACTTGTATGAGAACCCGAGAATCCTAGGACTTCCAATTATTTTCCCAGACTTGGCAAACTGACTCCTTACTCATTCCCTTGAGGTCACAAGAAATCTTTTATTCCAAAAGCCATCTCACTAGCTCTCTCAGGGGAATCTCAGCCACCAACCCCTCCTTCCCTAACAATCTCTGGTCAAGGGCCTCCCATCTCAGGACACCCACCCTTGGTGGCCGCTAAATGGAATGGGTCCTGGGAGATCTCTAGAGGAGGTGAAGCAAACAAGCCTAGTGCTTGCTGAAGGAACAGGCTGTCCCACTCCTCCACAGCCTCATCTTCCACCTCGGCTGGGTGGAGGTGACTCTGGAGATTTCCTGATAGAGAAGGGAGATAGGGGCTAATGACTGTTGTTGCTCCAGCTGGGCCTGGTTTCAAAGAAACAATTATCTGTGACTCAGTCCTCTAGTTGAAGGTGTGCTAGTCGTAGGGGGTGTGCAGGTAGAAAGGGTAGTTTGGTTGGATCCTAAAAAGGATATACCCAGCAGAAAAAGAAGAAAAGGGCTGAATAAAGAGAAGTGATGTGAGGCAATACTGGCAGGAAAGGACCAAAGGTCTAGTTTCCAAGAAAAGAGGGGAAGCAGAGACTAGATGTAGGGAAAGAGGGGCAGGGAGCTGGGGGCCGATCAATGGCCCAGTTTCTCTGCACTGAAACCACAAAGTCCAGCCTGGGGGGTGCCTCCCGCACCCCATTTCCCATTCCCTGGCTCCCTGCCTACTCTAGGAAAGGGCAGAACCTAGATCACCTGTCTCTGGGAATCATTACTGGCTGGATCAGGATTTCCAGATGCAGTAGCCAGATGGTTCCCAGTTGCCTCCACTTCCAGAACAAAAAGACTACTCTTTGGCTCCGGCACTGCAGAGGAGCCTAGATGGCTGTCTCTACCCATGACCACTCCTCACCCCACCCCACCCCACCATGCTATTTATTTACCCAACTCAGGGTCTCAGATCTAGACCACCCAAAAGGCAGCATCCTCAAACTAGTTTTCTCATTCTACACCCAACCTCCTGACCACCTCTTGGAATCCATGTGACCCTCTCCTCTCACTCCTTGCTCTCCCATCATCTTGGGCCCAGATTTTGCCTTCCCTCATATGCCTACCTCTTCTGGGGTCCTTCAGTCCTCTGCCCATTCACACTCACGTACCAGAGTTGGCCACTGTCCATTCCTCCTGATGCTGCTGCTGGTGCTGCAGAAAACTGACGTGGCGGCGGAAGTGGCGGGGACAATGAGGGCAGGTGAAAGGCCCTTCCTGGGGTGCATGGACCCGCCTATGGCCCTCCAGCCGGGCAGCTGTCCGGAAGGCCTTGCCACAGATGCTGCAGCGATGGCGCTTGGGGTCCGTGTGGGTCCTGCCATGGTTTTTGAGGGAAAGTAGGTTGGGTAGAAGTTTGGGGCAGAGGGAGCAAGGATAGAGTCCAGTGGTGTGGGCCTTCTGGTGGTTTAGCAGGCTACCAGCATGGCGGTAGGTACGCCCACACTGGGCACACCGGAAGGGCCGCTCTTCGTCTTCAGTCACTGTGGTCTGTACTCTCTGCCCTCCATTAGCTCTCTGAGTACTCTCTCCTGGGGCCTTCTGGGCTTTTTCTTGATGAGGGAGATCCACTTTATCCTCTACAGTCCCAGCTTCAGAACCTCTGGTGTCCTCTGTCCGGGGTGGCACCTGACTGAGGCCCCTGGCATGAGTTGGCAGGTGGCTGACTAGTTCGTGTTGGGACTGAAAGGCCTTGCCACAGTCAGGGCAAACAAAGGTCTGGGCAGCTATGTGGTTATGGCTGTGACTCTTAGTGGCCACAGAATTCAAGAATTCCTTGGAGCAAAGCAGGCAATAGTGGTTGTCTGTCTTATGGGAGTGGTGGTTCGTGGGGCCTTCTGATTGGCAGCAAGTCTTACCACAATGGCAGCAAGAAAAGGGGTAGCTCTCTGGTTGGAGCTGAGGGCTACTGTCTCCATTGTCCCAGCAACCCACCTGACTCAGACTAGGTCCACTGGGCTGGTTGTTACCAAGGTGGCAAGGGCTCATGGGGACACTGTCCCCGGACTCATCTTCTGGTTTGGTCAGTACATGACCTTGAGGGACCCAATCTCCAATATGATTCACTGGTCTCCCATCTCCTTGCCACCCATCTGCTTGCCCCAGGCCCAAGGATACTGGCTCTGTGGCTTCTGAACCTGCTGCCCTGATGGGGCTATGACTCTGCTCCCCTGGTCTCATGGCTCCATACTCCAACTGGGATACTAAATCAGTAACACCTGATCTGTCCTGTAGTCCCTTGTCATCAGCCAGGTTCCCCTTGCTGCCCTCTGTGCGACCGGGGCCTTCCTGAACACTTTTGGTCTCCTCTTCATGCTCTCGTAGGTGCCGCTCCAGAGAACCCCGGCCAGGGAAGCCCTGGCCACAGAGGGCACAGCGGACAGCTGCCCGCCGGGATCGCCCTGGTCGCCGCCGCCGGTTCTCCAAGTGCAGCCTCTGGTGGTCCTTCAAGGCCATGAGGTTGGTGTAGGTCTTGGGGCAGGTAGGACAGCTGTACTGGCCTGTCTCATGGTCGCACTGGTGGTTCAGGAGGCTGCCTGCATGGCGATAGTTCCGCCCACACTGCCCACACCGGAAAGGCCAATCTTCCCGAGTCGGTTTTTGGGTACCCTCACCCCTGCCCCTCTCAATGTGGATCCGCTGGTGGCTAGCCAGCTGTTTCCGCAGGCGAAATGCCTTCCCACACTCACTGCAGCGGAAACGCCGGGGATCTGCATGGATGCGCCGGTGGTTCTTGAGGGACATGAGGTTTGAGAAACCTTTGGAGCAGGCCTGGCAGCCAAAGTGGCCAGTCTGGTGGCTCTGCCGGTGATTAATGAGACTGCCAGCATGTTTGTATGACCGGCCGCACACCTCGCAGCTGAAGGGCCGCTCAGAGCTTGCCTCAGTCTGGCAGCCCTTCTCTGCAGTCTCCGACCTCAGCTCCATCGCCTCCCCCTTCACAGCGGTATCCTCCCATGCCTCTTCTTTCACCCTTGCCACCTCCTCTGAGGGCTCTACTTTAAGTTCCTCTTGGAACTGCTCCACATCTGCCTGCCTCAGCCTCTCCTCTGCCATGTTCTGGAGCTCACTGCTGCTTCCTACCTCTGGGATGGGCCGTACCTGTGGCTCAGAGCCTTTGCAGCGTGGGTGGTTTCGCAGATGATTGCGGTAGGCAGCCAGGTTGGGGTAGCAGCGGGTGCACACAGGGCAGATGTAGTCTCCAGTCTGGTGGATCTTGCGATGGTTCACTAGGCTACCCCCATGGCGATAGGTTTTGCCACACTGGTTGCAGCGGAAGGGGCGGGGCTGGTCCTCCAGAGAACTTTCCCCAACCTGTACACAGAGGCTGTCTGTAACCTGGGAACCTATTCCCTCTCCAGACTCTGTGACTCCACACCCTGCAGAGAGAGAGGTCACTGTGCCCTCAAACATACCACCTGCAACCATTTGATTGCAGGTGGCATCACCTGATTCTCCCAAGTGGTTGGGAGTCTTGTCTGTAGTGTTCCCAGAATTCTGACTTTGGTGGTGCCGCTCCAGGCTCCCCAGGTCATCATAGGTCTGACCGCAGCAGCCACAGATGTGCCCATAACCAGCTCCATCTAGCGCCTCCACCTCCCGCTGCAGCTGATTCAACAGCTCTGCTTCTGAGAGTTGCAGTGGGGCACTGTGAGTGGAGGCCACCACTGCTGATCCTTCATCTTCCCCCTCCTCCTCCGAGCCCTCTGTCATGCCAGAGGAGGCATGAGCCTGGCGCTGGTGAAGCCTGTAGCCAGCACGCCCAGGGAAGATCATGCCACAGAGGCAGCAAAGGAAAGGTTGTGCTGGGGCTGCCTCTCCAGGCCTGTGGTTCTGGAAGTGGCTACGCAGGGCAGGTAGAGAGTCAAACTCCTTCGGGCAGAGGGAGCACTGATAGATGTCTGGTGGGTGGCAAGGCCTGTGGCTCAGCAGGCCAGTGGCATGGGAGAAAGAATGCCCACAGTCAGAACACGTGTGGGAGACTTCGGCCTGCCAGCTAGTGGCACCTTCAACAGAGTGAGAAGAAGTGGGCTGACCAGTGGCCAGTGTCTGGTCTTCATCCACCCCAGTGAGGCCATCACAGGAGCGTGTCCCATTGCTTTCCTCATCACCTGGGATGTCCAAGTTGTCAAGG